CTTATATATGTTATTAAAAGATAAAGGATTAAATTTGTTTATATTAGTTATTCTTATACTTACAAGTGAAATTGGAATCCAGTCTTATTTTAAATTTTGATATATTTTGGTTTCAAGTTTTAAAAATTAATAAATACAATTATTTTAATCTAACTGTGTTATTTTTTTATTTGTTAAACGAGGTTGCATATTGATATTTGAGTTAAACAATTAAAGTGTTATTAGGAAAAAACGTTTGACATGTACAAAAAATTAATACAGTTAAATTAGAAGATTATATTTATTAATTTTTAAAATTTGAAGAACAAACTATATATATCAAAATTTGAGAGATTGATAAATTTAATATTTAAGAATTAAAAACATATTTAACTAAAAAAAAATCAATTTTACTCACTTTTATTTGGTCAAATAATACCTTTTAATGTAATTTATTGCTTTTCAACCATGTCAATGTTATGAATATTTTATCTAAGAGAACTTACTCTTGATATTTACTTGAAATAATTTTAATACGTATACAATTTTTTTTATATAATTTTAGTGAAAAAAATAGCATTATCATTTAAGCATAAAATATAAAATATACCATATCATATTACTATACAGTACATGTTAAAGATAGGAGAAAATAACACGATGTTATTTTATATTTATTTTTTTGTTCAATTATTAATTTTACTAAACAAACCAAATTGAATTAGCTAGCCCATATATTTTTAAGAGCATGTTGGATGAAATTTTAAATAAATTCCTTATTACAGAAAAAAAATGAAATTAATTCTCCAACATCTAAAGGTAAATTGTGTATAGATTAATTTGAAGAAGTTTTCTTGACTTCTCTAAATTTGTATTTCTTTACTTGTTAATTTTATAATTTATGTATAGATTAATTTGTAGACATTTTCTTGAGATGTCTAATTTTTTTTATTATTTTACTTGTTAATTTTAGTTTATAAAGAAACTTATTTCATTTTTTTTTCATCTTTTCCCCCTAAAATAATTCAGAGAAAACTCATCCAATTCCTTCATCCGTCATCTTCGATATGTTCATCCATTATGGATTAGCCTTTCCTAAACAAAACATAATAGAGATTTAAGGGTTATACAATAATTTAAAATACTTTTTTTTTCCAAAAAATACAAATAAGTAGAAAAAGAATCAAAGAGTAATTTTAACATAATTATTTTCATCAGTTTTTAAAATCTAATGGTTAAAACTATCAAATAAGAAAATAAAAGTAACACAAACTATGCAATAATGAAAAGTATATATTAACAGAAAAATTTGTACCGTAAAATATTATCCTATAATAGAGTTTCTATTTTATTTATTCAACTGAATTAATTATGTTGTTAATTTTTTTTTTAATATTTTATCTCGTCATGTTACTTATCACTATAAATTAAGAAATGTATAATTTTGTATAATAACACATTTTTTCAATAATTAGTCAAAATAAAATATTCAAACTACTTTTAACTTTAATGTATAATGACTAATTTTTATGTAAAGTTATTAAACCATTTTTTACATGTTGTAATAAGGTAAAAATGAACATTTCTTATTGCATCACTTTTATATGAACACCTATGTAATTACCATTAACACTTATCTCTGACTTTGGCACATTAAATGATGATAGGATTTGGTACATTAACTATAATATTGTTTAATATTGATAGCAAAACTTTATCTCAAATATATTAGCCTATAGACACAATTAAAACGATGGGAAAACATGTCACTCAGATAATAAAACAAATTAAACAACATGAACTTAATTAAAAAAAATTAAATACACAAAATTTAATTAAAATTACTGAAATACCCAAAGTTGTAGGAAACTTTAAACTTAATTAAGTCTAAAAATACATATTGGTTAAAATAATTTAAAATCTTGAGTAATAGTTGAAATTCAAATATTGATCGAGTAGTGTATGAGAGTTGTTGTAAAGATTCAATTTTTTTTTTTAAAATAAAAGAAGTTGAAAATCAAATTTCATAAATTCTAAAAGAATATATTGTATCATAAAAGAGCTCCGTCATGTTGATTCATAAATATCTTATTGAAGAATTAATATATTGGTCCAGATTTTAGAGCAACCCATGATGTGAAAAATACTTCAAACTTTAGTTGAATTACTTTTCATTATAATTAATGCAGTCAATTCATAAGTGTTATTTTTGCATGATTTTAAAACGACTAATATTAAAATTAAAAAGTTATCATGCATAATATGCAAGATAAATATAAAAAACTTTTATATTCTTTTCCCTTTTTACCTGTCTTTAATTTTGCCATATTCCTATAGAATGTTGCATATTAGCTTGATGACTTTATACTATTAAATTTCTGGCTTTTTATGTCGTGTGATAATCGAATTTTGTGTCTTCTTTCATTTGTTGGACACGCGTGTCATGATTTGCATTTTTTTTTCTTTTACTCGATCACTTGATTTGATCCATATAAAATGTGTTCATAAGATAAATATTTAATTTGAATTCAGTAGAAAAATAAACAAATAAACCTAAAAGTACCTATTCTACACTTTAATATTCGGTTTCCATTACTTTTTTTTTTCATTTCTTGTCAATATTTTTGCCACTTATACAGAAAATGTCGTTACGAACGCTGTAAGGACACAGTATGGGCACTAACAAAAAAAATAAATGAATCTGATAATGTTGACATTATGATAAATATTTATATATATATATATTAATATATTAATTTATCGTAATCTCGATTCCTTCGCTTTTCCCCCTCCATTTGAATGGTGCGAATGAGACGTTTTCATTCCCTTTATTTCGTGCAAGCAAGTTTCATTAATAACGCATTGCCTTGTACGGTTGAAGATGAATTTCTCTCGTATTGCCTTCCTTACACGAAATAAACAAATGGTTTTTTCTCTTTTACTTTAAACAATGAATGACGCAAATGAAATAATAAAAATGTACCAACTGAGTTATTGGAGAATTAGCAAAAGGTAGTAATTTTTTATATGATAGATTGGATCTAAATTCAAGTACATGATTAGTGATGCATGATGACGCACGATGGTTATATTCTTCCCCAGCCGTCCATGGGTTTTGGGGACCTCTGTGGCTGAGAAATTGAAAACTGAAGGAAGTGGCTCCTCAGATATAGACATCAGATATAGATGTCTGGGGTGGGAATAGGGTTTGGGAATGTGCATGAGTGAGAGATATTACATAAATCTATATTCTTTATTGCTATTTTAAAAATGTTATGGCTGCCAAATTGGCCACTTCCACTTCCACTGTAACGGCACCAAATGCGATTACTCGACGCTGAAACTAAAGCGGAATAGTGGAAATGCTTTTGTTTGTTCTTTTTTAGTGTGATTGGTGAGTTGAGGTAGCTTTCGGTTGGTGGGGCATGAAGAAAGTCAAATATACTTGATAATTTGTTTTATACAGTGAGATGTGTGGCAGCCACGAGAAGGCGTGTGGCTGAAGGAGCCACGCAACACTGCTTCTGCTTCATTCGTTCCTTTCATCATCAACTACCCACGCAACCTCTCACCAAAAATTAAACGTAGAGCTTTCAAATTCTTTCTCTCAGCATCACAGATTCCATAATTATATAGATATTTTTTTATGGTTTGAATATTTTGCTTCTATCAACCCATGAAGGTGCATGCACTGTAGCTATAGAGTGGTAAGGAGGAGCGGATGCACGTTCGACGAAGGAGGAAGAGACTGCTCGGCTTTCAACTGTGGAGCAGAGTGATTTCCAAACTACAGTGACGACGTTGACCAGGGAATCAATATTATTCACAAACAAATTTATTTAAATACATGTGTACTGTATAATTCAAAGTAACTTAATTATTTGCTATTTTATTATCTTAAAATAATTTTAATTCAACAATAATTTATACTAGTTTATAATTAAGAAAAGAGGATATATTCAATTTCAAAATAATGACATTATATAATTCATATAAATATTACTATAACACAATAAAAAATCATTTTTCAAGTTGTTTTTTATTTTGTTTTATTTTTGTTAAAGAGTAGTATAAACTGTTACAAAAATAAAATAAAAGTATAACGTAATTTCAAAATGTTTTAATTCTTATTTATAGATTTGTTGCCACTTAAGTGATGGCTTGAACAAGGAGAATCACCATTATATTTTTTAATTGGTTTTTCGTTTATCAATGCGATGGACTTAATTGGAATTTCTCGCTCAAGCTTCGTTTGGTCGTTTGAGTGATCATTTTGAGTAGCATATAAATGAGAAATTGTTTAAGATTAGAAAAACTTTGTTTCTGTTTAATTGAAATCAAAAACTTGATTTGTATTGTTCATCTTACTCAAGCAAGTGATATATATTTTCATCAAGTATGACCATAAGTTCATGAGATTTTGTTAAAATATTATTAATTAGTAATATATAATTTTAAATAATTAGATTTTAATAATTAGTAATGCTATAATTATTATTTTCTTAATTATTTTAGGCCAATGAGGTAAAAGTTGAAAGAGAATTACAATTCAACTTTAACAACTTTAACAACTTTAACAACTTTAACAGACAATCTTGTCATTATTGAAGAAACATGACCTGATAATTTTTCTCTCTCATGTAATTAAATCTTATCATTCAAGAAGATGAAAGAATGCGAGTCAAATACTATCATTTCTTTACATAAATTATCTACCCTTAAGAAACCTTATATTCAATGTTAACAAATATGATCGAAGGTTGACCAAGAAGTTAGAAGGGAGAAGCATAGTGCAATGCAATATAGAGGAAATACATTTTATAAAGTGAAACAAGTGCACAACATGTTCGACAGTTGGGCCTGCTTTATACAGTGCTATTTTTTCTTGTTCAATCATGTTTTGAAACATAAGATTGGAGCATAAACGTTGAAGAAAATCCAATTTAACAATGTTGTAAACTTACGACTTTCATTTCACTTGAGAAAATGTAGATATTTAGAAGTTTTGGTAGAAAGTAGATTCAAACATTGTAAGCTTTCCATCTAAAAACATAAACCGAATACGTTTGACGTAAAAAGAAAATATTGTATGTTCATAATTAATGTTGTTGTTGGTTAGTTAACTGAAGCCACTTAAACTTTTCTTTCTAGAGTCGAAGAGAATGCAACAAGAAATGAAGTCCATTAACGACATCGTATAGCATTAGCCCTACTTTACCTCCAAACCAACTACCGGTGTGACTTCCGACAAGGTAACCAAGTCTCCCAAGCTTTTGCTCCCCAAGGAAGCCTCCAGCATAAGTTCCAAACAAAGTGCCACTTCCCCTAAAGAAACCCTCCATGAAAGTACCACCATAGTACACAGATTCAAAAAAATCCCATCCTGAAGAGATCATAGGACCCAATCTGTGTTTGGCGTTACGAGAAGCCAATTTTGCTGCCTTTTCACCTTCTTTCTTGGCATATTTCACAGAAGCACTTTGTGACAATCCCTTCTTCACAACATCAACAAGTGCAGATTGAATTGCACCTTGCTTTGCTTTTTCAACACGAGCAGCTCTGATATTGTAAAAGTAGAGCTTTGCACCTTCCTTCACTGTACATGCTAACGTTCCAGAAGTCATGTCAAAGCAATTTAAGATCGTAAACTTCCCACTATGGGATGATGCATTCTCACCAACAAGTTGTCTGCATTGTTTAGCTAAAACAAGGAGCACCTGGATATTAGTAAATAATGAGCAACAAGCTCAACCTTAGCAATTATTTGTTACTACTGATGAGTAAGTAGTAAGAAACTGGTTAAGGATGAAAACAAGTGTACTTAAACTGGTTAACCATGGAGATTACATATTGTATCTCTCCAAAATCCACCACATTAATGATCACATATAAAATTAACATATGCACATAATACTCAAAAAAATCCATGATTAAGAAGACATTTTGTCTCAATTTGTAAACTTTCCAAATTTGTAAGAAAAACTAATTATGCAAACTCTGCCAGATTAAGATCAGAACCAAATTGTTCACGAAAAATTAGTAAGCAATAAATATTCACTGTCCAATCGTGCCAGATGCAAGATTACGAGTAATTCACATGAAATTAATATAAAGGGATCCGAATTTTTTTTCTGTTTTCCTTCCTTTATTCTCTACACATTAAAACAAAGTAGAGATGCAATGATCATTGATGTCTGATACATTTTTGAATCTCATTGATGTCTGTGACATTTTTTAATCTCATTGATGTCTATAATTAGATAACATCAATCTCAAATGCTTCAAAAAAAAGAAGAAAAGGAAAATCAATTCTAGTCACATAAACAGAATACATAGAATAGGAAATGAAAAATTCGGTACCTGTGACGCTAAAAGCAACGATGGCAGTCACTATGGTTAGAAATCGAACTTTCTTCTTCTGGAAAGCCAACGGCATGGCAGTAACGGAAAACGAAATGTAACGAATTATTTGGAAATTACTATAAAGTAAACAATGATAAATTAAAGAGGCCTTCAAATGAAAGCTTCCAAGAGAGAGAAAATCTTAACGATAGATTCTTGGTTAGTTCAGGTAAATTATTGTTAGCAAGAGAAAAAGGCTTTTGCGGAAGTGCACAAGGTTAATGATAACGGGCTGTCTAATCGGCCCAATTACACTGTTGAAAGCGGGCTTGCTTTAGGTCCAGTCTTAATTATTAGGACAACATTAATGTAAAATGCACTAAACAATATAAGTCTCGTTTTTTGTTTAATGGGGTCTGTAAAAGGTTTATGTAATAATAAAATGATACTAAATTAAAACTCTGTTTAATTATATTAACCTTACAATTATCCTTGTTTTATTTTTTTTCTATCACAATATCATTAAAATTGTTTCATTTTTAGCCTATAATTTTATTTTATTTTATTTAAAAAATTATTGAATGCCAACCACATGTTATATTCTCTTCTAGAAGCTTTACCTTCATCCTTTAACATTCAATCAATTAAACTTCCATAATGTAGCACCAATACCACAGGATATAGTGATTGTAATATCTAAGAACAGGATTAGCAAAAATATTATTGCAACTTAAAATTTCGAAACATCGAAAGAAAGAAAAAGAACACCGAAGGAATTATTTGTTACAAATTTGTCGAAAATAACTTCCTCCAACTGAGATTAAATAAACAAAAGGTACTTGCAGTTAACACGGTTAGACTCATCAGTATGGCAAGAGAAAAAACACAAATTCCAGTAAAAAAAATCATACTATATTCCCAGGAGATAAGGATGCAAATCTCACGTACCATCTGCTAGTGTCATGTGTAAATAAATGAATCTTAAAAATAATCATGGTTTACTGCATCAAAGGTCATTGGGAAGTTATCCGACTCCGCAAGGCAAATAATATCATGCTTTTAGCTTCATACTTGCACATTCATAATTCAGTGGCATTTGTCACGGAAATTTGTCACGGAAAGTATACCATAGGAAGCCAAATATGCTTCCTTACATTCTAGGATAAACCTTAATGAGGAACGACAGTTACCGAAAGGACAGAGGACTTAACCTCGGTCTCGGAAAAATTACAGACTGAAAATGCACAAGCATATATACCCATTTCAGAACTGAGTAGGCAAATGTTGCCATAGCTGAGAATTTAATTGATTTAAGCATCATTATCTTTATCCAAAGAAGCTGATAGATAGCTCAAGATGAATCCGTCTAGGTCGCCCTCAAGGACGGAGTCAGGGTCTGAAACCTCATAGTTAGTTCTAAGATCTTTCACCACACGGTAAGGCTGCATTATATACATAATATAATATTAGTTACAATTATAATTAAGACAGAATGCCTAGATCATGACAGACTGCTAAAAAAATGGGAAGGGGGAGACATGTACAATCTCCAACCTACATGGAGAACATAACTGCGAATCTGACTGCCCCACGTTATGTCAGTGAGAGACTGTGTATGTTGTGCATTCAACTGTGCTTGCCGTGCCATCTCCAGTTGGTCTAACCTTGACTGAAGCACAGCCATGGCTGAAGCCTTGTTCTGATGCTGCGATCTGTTTTTAAATCATACCCAAAATCAAAACCTAAGAACACAACACAATCAATGCGTGAATATGAGGACTAATTTCTTACCTTTCGTTCTGACAAGTTGCAGTAACTCCGGTGGGAATATGAACTATTCTTACAGCGCTCTCAGTTGTGTTAGCATGCTGGCCACCAGGACCACCAGCCCGAAATCGTTCGATTCGAAGATCAGATTCATTAATCTGTACATGGGTAGATCCATCACCTAGGATTGGAATCACTGCCACAGCAGCAAATGAAGTATGTCGTCGCTTATTGCTATCAAAAGGTGATATGCGCACCAGCCTGTGCACCCCTATTTCTGCTTTGGCATATCCAAATGCAAACTCACCATCTACTTTAATGGTAGCTCGCTGAAAAGGCAAGTAGACCCATATATTCAGAAACTAGCAATCCCCTTCAATAGAAAATATAACATAAGGCAAGAAATGTCAGAGGCAAAATCTATGTTGAACTAGAGGCTATAAATGGAAATGGACTCCAATTGGGAATCTTGCTTGTAGTTTAAATGCTATCCAAATTAAGCAACACAGAACATGACGGTTGAAAATCAGAAATAATAGTCACATTAGAGGGAGGTGGTCATGGGTCATGCATGCAAGACTTTGTGGAAAATTGCAAAATAATTTTAAAGTAAATAATTCTGAAGATGGTATGAAGAAGAACCTTGATTCCTGCAATCTCACCAGGCATTTCATCCATTAAAGTTACTTTATATCCACGCCGCTGTGCCCATGACTTATACATCTGCATGACCATTGATGCCCAGTCCATACTTTCCGTACCCCCAGCCCCAGCTTGAACCTATATTAATTATATAATAGTAAGCTTCAAAAGGCACACTGATTCACAACCACAGCCCAAGTTCACTTCTTTATAATGAATAAGGAAAAAAATGTTAGGAGTCTAGGATATATTGTATTGCAGCATATCAACATCATGCTCTTAGACCTAGATTGATGGCTTGGGCATGAATAATAATAAAAACAGCAAGGCAGTAATAGAACATTTTAATTCTATGACAGCAACCTCAATGTAACAAGAACAAGAATCTTGCTCCTCAGCAAGCAACGCCTCTAGCTCTTTCTCTTTTGCATCTCTTCTCATGTTAAGCAACACTTTTAATGATTCCTGAAAAGGGAATACTCAATGCATGAATATATAAATCTGCATGTACTAGTAAGAAATGATCAATCTAACTCTTCTCAACAAACCTTGAAAGAGAATAAACTAGTTTTCAACATCAATATATGTTTCCTACAAATTAGATCTACCACATAAGACGTTCAGCCCTATAGATTTTCAGACATTGCAGTATGCTGTTAAACAATAGTGTCTACTTAAGTTTTCTTTCTTGAGATAATAAATTACCAAGTCCTCACCGGCTTAAATTTAGTTCTTTTATTCTCCTTATCGCCACTCTACTTTGCACACCAAATCAAAGGAACACAGGTCAGATTATTGAGCATCACAGCCTTTTGTATGTAAGACTATTACAAAAAAAAAAAAAGGCGAATACATGCCTAGGATAAGATGAAGCGAGTCCCCACCAATTCCAAATCCGCATCATTCTCTTCGCGGGCAAGCTTTATCATGTCGATATGCTCAAGTAGTTCTTGTTCCAATGCATTTACTTCTTTCATTTTCCCCAGGAGCGAACCATGCTCTCGGCTTATTTTACCTGCGCGCACCGGATCATCCCAAAGGTCCTCCTTACCCAGCTGGAATGATAACATATCCAACCTCACCTTCAATTTTTCCCACTGCCACAACAACACATACGATCAAGTTCTAACAACCCAAGATAAAAAAAAAATTGGAAAACAAAACAATCACACTTATGCCCTAAAACAAAGACCAATCAATAATAATTAGTACATAACTACTTAATAAGTTACTAAGCGGTGATTAAACAAAAGCACGTTTAATTTAAGAGAAAACAGGGTAGTTACCTGCAAGCGGCGTTTGATCAAATCAATAGATTGAGCTATAGCGGTGGCATGACTCTTCCAATTGCCTTCGTTTTCGTCTAGAATGTTCCAATTATTGGCCAGAATTTGTTGGACCGTGAGCCCATCAGAGGTTGAGGCCTCAGAGGCGGCGGCCTCAGAGGCCCAAAAGCGAATTTGGAGAAGCGCGTTAGAAAAGCTGAAACTTGGGATCGAATTTGAAGCGAAGCAAGGAGTGGGCTTCTGTGGAAGGGAATGTGATGATTGGCGACACCAAAACCAGCTTGAGTAAGCCAGAGTGTGATGCGACTCGAACGAGTTTCCGACTTGTTTGTGCAGAAACAGGGATAAGGCCTTAGTCCTAAGGGATTTTCGCAATAAACGTGACATGTTGTAGCCCTTGTGTATTACAAAACAATGTAAACAGTGAAACTAACAAGTCTAAGAGGAGAAGAAAAGAAACAGTACCCCACCTTTCAGCTTCGGGAGCACTCTACGAAGATGATGAAGATGCTAATGCCAACGGGCCTGACCCGTTTAACACCTTGATTTGTATTTTCATCATTATGGGCCTACCATAGCGATGTGAGTGTTTCTTTCTGCACAACCCCACATTTTTTCCTACACACACATATTTTAAAAATCTCAAAATTATTTTCTATATTTCAAAAAAATTTATACTCCACTTCTTCTTCTTTTTTCAACAGAATTAAATTTTTTTTCTTCATTTTTTGAAAACTTTAACAGATTTCAAATTCCGTAAAAAAATTATTTTTAGAATATGGAAATGCAGGAAAAAAAAATATGAAGTACAGAAAAAAAAACACTAACGATTTATGTCAAGTAAACCCAATTATTGGGAGTAAATGATTGTTGTTTACGCTCATTCTTTTGTTGATATACTCATTTTTGCATTTCCAAAAAAATTCTAAATATTCTCTTTCAGAAACTAACCTCAGGGAATAATTAATAATACCTTCTAAAAAGTAATCTCTTTTCACTTGTGAAAACTAATTATTTGATCTCTTTGTCTCGTTACTGCAGTGCTTAATTTTTTCAAAAATTATAACATTTTAATGGTTTTTTTTAACAAATTTCAAAATTGTTTAGTGCCTAAAACTCATTCTAGAAAAAGAATTTTTTGATGATTTTGCTTTAAAAAAGAAGCCAAACATCAACGTATTTACAATGCCGTATTTTAGAGAACTGTAAACCCCCTTGTATTAAATACCTCCTAAAATTTAGGTGAAATGAATTGTAATTCAGCTCTCTTTTAGAAACATTTAAACTAGTCTTAAAAACCCACAATAGAAGATATACTTTAAGAAATAAGAAAACAATCATTACATTTTCTTTCTTATATATATATTTCTATTTCTGACAAATTCTACTCGTAAAATTGAAGTTACTTAAATACCATTAACATTGTTGATAAAAAAATTCTCACAAAAGATTTTTCTTTCAAACTAAGCTTTACATTTAAGGGATGGAAAACGACACATCATTGCTTCAGAAGATTCTTGGCAAAATATAATTCGAGTTAAAAAAACGAGTTGTTACCCTTATCCAGATTTTTGAGGTTAAGTGACCAATTTTCTTGCTCAAACTATATCAGACTTGCATTCACCAGTAGCCCACCAATGGTCCGAATTTATCCAAATCAAGACTCTACAAGCTACGACAATCACAGTTCTCAAAGATATTTTTGTCCAAGACAAAAAATAAAAGCCTTTACGTGAAGCTTTAACATCAACCACATGACAAGATCTTCCTACAAAAAGCTACTCTAAAGGGAAAACTGACATATTAGTTCCCAGAACCTGCATGTGGTTTTCGCTTCCTCACAATCAGAACTGGGCACTTCACGTTCTGGGAGCAGTATTCGCTCACACTATCAAAGAAAGCCCTGAAATTCAAAAAAGGAAACCTCAATTTGTTATACTACTCAAACATAAATTGGGTACTAAGAAGACTCGTGCATCGCAGAATGGTCAGAAAAAGTCTCATTTATAATTTGCCTAATTGGAAAACATAATTCTGAAATATATACTCGACTTTTTTATTTTGTTGCAGTTTACCTCT